GGGAGAGTTCTTCGACTTCAAGATGTTAAGGGTGCAAGACGCGGCGCGGCGGGCGCCGGCTCGGTGTCGCGCCGGCTCGGTGTCCGATTACGTTATTGAGAAGTTGATTACGTATTTTGTTGACTAATTGGTCACATGATTCAACTGTAAGCCCTGTTTTTATAACAATGTAATTAGGGAAGTACCATTATATAGCAGATGTCGCTGTAGTGTTACAGTATAACTGGGGTATACAATTATGTTGGACTTTCCTTACTTCTCACCCTTTTTAGGCAATTTTGAACCTCTTTTTTAACAATAGGTATATAGGCTACCTTTATCTACATTCTGATCATATCTAATATCCGACTAGCAGAATTGTTCTAGGTGGAAAATCGGTATAACAAGCATTGTTACAATGAGGTTTCACTATTGACCTATGTAAACTAAATATTAGTCAACTATTGTAGTTACCTAGTCCCATAAGTTAGTAAACAGGACTGGGGAGTGACGTTGGAGACTGTATATACCCCATGTACCTGGACCATCAAGCGGAACCATGGCCTTGCCCCATCTGACAGATAAGGTGTTCTGGGCGAAGGAGTCAGGACATCCAACAACTATTTTGCGGATTCCATAGACATACCGGTGTACTATATCCGTATTGTGAACCAGGGAAGATTACCTTCTGGGGGTGGTAGAGAAAGGGGTAAGTGTCGCCAGTTATACTATTGGATTACTAGTACACACTCTGTGACTAACAATTAACTAGTTATGTAGTAGTACGGAGTAGTGATAAGTACTGTGCTTGCGTAGTATGAGTGCTCGTGCTATTAATAGCCATGAGTTCTAGGCCACATGGTCTGAAGAAGAATTGTGTAGTACTCTCCTGCACTAGCACCACGCCGCAGGCTCAGTACATACCTAATACGTGTATGTACAGAGTAGGTACGTAGCCTTTGTCAGCCGGGGTCCATGCCCTGCTCCTGGCCAACTGAAGTCACCTTCAATCGGGAATACATGTGCCTGCCTATTCAGGACTTCATGCTTGCCCTTACTTGACAAAAGGCCAGCATATTGCACTAGACTCACAGTACCCAGGTAGCTGCAGCAACATATCGGGTATGAAGATGATTAGACAGTGGATCCAGCTTAGGTAGAGTTTCTCCGTACTGTACATATAAGTACATACTAGGTACCTACTGTACGTCCTCCGTACATAGCACAATAAAACTTTGATTGCGCATTTGATACTTTAATCATCAGAAAAAAATACTAGGGACATGGACGGTATGCATTAAGTAAGGTAAACTTTCTCCTCTGTACTGCGCTGTACAGTTTCTGTATACAAATACTGTATCTATGTAGGATCTGTATCTTGGGTTGTACTGTACTATACATAAGCCAACCGACTACGTATTTACTGATGCCAAATTCATCAACATGCCAAATAAAACCCCACTTCTTGATATTGCCCCTGGCCCCCTGTCAGATTAGTCAACTCGTCAAATGTTTAGTAGATTCGAGCCCTGAAATTTAGTTGGCATGGAGAGAGAGTACTTGGAAGCTGAGTATGAACAGAACGTACTCCGTACAGTACAGTACTCCCATTCTTACGACACACAGTATATCGAGGACAGTAAGTTACTCCCCTTCTGTCCCCACCTCCTCTCTTGAAGTCATTCGTTGCTCAGCAGCAACCTACATGTGTACTTGGTATTATCGATGATTGTTTCCTATCACTCCCAATTTTTTTTCCGGCCCCTCCTCGCCCTCCCCTCCATTAGTCTAAGTACAGTACGTAGGGTAAATTAATCAGTAGTTAGTGAGTCTAGCAGGAGTGAGTAAATCACGTACTGTGTAATAGTCATAAAAGGTGAGCGTACATTATAATAATCATCGTTACTCGGTAACCTCCAATTCCGCTTTCTGTTCATGCTCAGCCCGAATCTTCTTTCTTCCTTTCCTCCCTGAACCACCCCCCTCCCTCCCCCTCTCCCTCTCCCCGCCCCCCACCACCCTTAGCTTTCGACTTATTAACATCCTTTGGATCATCAGACCCCGAAGTCTTTGCCACATAGTAAGGGCTTTTAGTCTGAAACCATTTGATTGTCAGGGGCAGAGAATAAACAATCACAATCAGCCAAACCAAGAAAAGACAAAAAAAAAGCAATAGTTCCAAGACCGGAGAAACACACTGGCCGCGATGAATAGGCCACCACCCCAAGGTCGTGGTCAGCCACGGCTGGGTGCGACATGGTATCCAGGGGGTCAGGACGATTTTTACATGCCAGAAGTCATATCCCCATCTCCCCAAAGGTACGAATTGCCCGCGACTCTTGGAACAAACAGTTGATCAACCCTTCCTAGTGTCCTTTCATTATTTGGTTGTGTTGCTAATCGATCCTATCATATCCTTGTTCCAGTAGAGTCATGCCCGAGGTACCGGAGAATATGCAAGACAACATAGCTCATCTTGAGCACGAAGCTCGAAACCCCCACCACAACCAGCACGCTCCAGTGCAGTATGACCGCTCTCGCTTCCCCGAGCGCACTTCGTCCGCCTTCTCACAAGACCAGCCTTACCCATCAGCCTACGAACCTGCCTCCCGTTACGAGCAGCAGGACACGGCTCACGATGCCATGGATACCCCCAGCTTCTCTCCCTTTCCTGTTCTGCGGAACCCCCCACCAAACGTCCCTCCAACCGATGAGCAGCGGGAAGCCAACTTGGAAAGAGCACGTATGGCGGTGCTCTCCTCTAATGACCCGGAGATGCAGCTAGCCTGGGCCCAAGACGCGCTCGCTTTCGTCGAGGTTGCCATGCAGAATGAGGCACGTCTGTCTTTGATCCAGCCTCCGCGACCACAAACCCCCCCGGTGGAGCGTCAACTCAAACTCGACGCAATGAACATTGTGAACTTCCTTGCAGAACAACATCATCCCAAGGCTGAGTTTATCAAGGGCATGTGGCTCGAGTTCGGGAAATTTGGATATCGCATCGATAAGAAAGAAGCTTTCCGATCCTACTCGAGAGCTGCGGACAAAGGATATGCCAGAGCTGAGTACCGGATTGGCATGCAGTTTGAAAGCTCCGGAGAGCCGGAGAAAGCCATCAGGCATTATGAGAAGGGCGTTGCCCTTGCAGACTCTGCTTCCTTCTATGTATGCCCTCCCCCCGGCCGTTATCAGACCGGCTCGTGTCCCGTGCTAATGATACATACAACGGTAGCGCTTGGGAATGATGATCCTACTAGGCCAGCATGGTCAGCGTCAGGACTATCAGATGGGGCTTGAATACATTAGCCTTGCAGCGCAGTCCTGCGATGAGAATGCCCCCCAGGGAGCCTATGTTCGTTCGGATTCACCCTTCAATTCTACGGCTGGGAAGCTAACCTCTCCATGCCCAGGTCTATGGCATGCTGCTAGCGCGAGAGTTACCGCAGGTCAATGTTCCTGAGAGTTACCTTCCTCTTGATCTCAACGCCTCCCGTGTCAACATCGAAAAGGCTGCCTATCACGGCTTCGCAAAGGCACAGGTCAAGATGGGTGCGGCCTATGAGCTGTGCCAACTCGGCTGCGACTTCAATCCCGCCTTGTCTCTGCATTACAATGCATTGGCTGCACGACAAGGCGAACCGGAAGCAGAGATGGCAATTAGCAAATGGTTCCTTTGTGGCCACGAAGGTGTTTTCGACAAAAATGACGAGTTGGCCTTCACCTACGCTCAACGTGCCGCCCAAAGCGGATTCCCTACTGCCGAATTTGCCTTGGGATACTTCTACGAGGTCGGAATCTTTGTTCCGGTGGACATCAAAGAAGCTAGAAGCTGGTACGCCAAAGCAGCGGCCAATGGAAACAAAGATGCGACGGGCCGCATCGATAGTATTTCTCGCTCCAAGACTTTGTCCAGAAAGGATCACGAGCAAGTAGCAATCGCTCGGATCAAGTCGCGTTATGGATCTGGTCAACGAGGGGGTCCGATGAAACCCACTCCTGAGAACATCGAAATGCCCGATCCATCTCGAATGACTCTCTCGGACAATCCATCGGCCGCTGCTCCCTATCCCGACAGGCCTTCGTCCCGGGCCCGACCTGTATATCCACCCGGATATGGCATGCCTGACCCACGTCCTAGTTCCGCCTTTGGGATTAATCCCAACATCCGAAATACTGCTCCCACCTACAACCGCGCGGCGTCTTATGGACCAGGCCCTATGGGCTACCGGGCCCCAGGGCCCAGTACCCCCTCCACCACCAGTCCCACAAGCCCAGCCCCTACGACTCCCAAGCTTGATATTGGCTACTCGGCACCGCTCGAAAACCCCAACGCGGACGCTCGGAGACGCCCTCAGCGGCTTGACAACATGCCTCCTGACCGGAGACCTGTAAGAGGCCCTACCTCTCCTCATACGCAAGCTGGTCCGGTGAGCTCCCCTCGGCCAGCTGCTTCGCCTTCAACCACGTCATTCCCCCCACGGACGGAGTCTATGCCGCCCTCGAATGCTCAATCAATGTCCAAGCCTCCACCATCTTCATCCACACCCAAACCCTCTTCAGCCGCGTCCACTCCCAAGCCCGCCCCACCGACGACAAGCGCTGCCGGCCAGAAACCTCCAACAACAACGCCAGTCAAGCCGCAACCTGGTCTTCCGGGTAAAGGCCCCAAGACGTTTGAGGAAATGGGGGTTCCAGCTGTACAGAAAGACAGTGATTGCGTATGTTCCTATCTAATTGCAGCCGCATAATGGTCATGGTAACAGCTAACAATATCTAGATTGTCATGTGATACCCCGACGTCATCTATCCCGTGATCTTTATTCGCTTGTGCTGTATTTGGAAAGTCTTACGAAGAGCGATTTCATCTCTCCTTGCCTCGAGCCATGTGAACAAGGTCGAGTAGCTTGAAACTGGGGGACTTGTAGAGGCAGCGTACGACTCTAGTCTGAAACCTGAACATTCTATGTCTCTCTGGGATGGTAATGTTTCCTGCACTTCATATTTCTTTCCCCAGGGGTGTCAAGAATACCGCAGTAAAATGGACTATTTCCCTCCAGGGCATAATATAACTTTGTATGAGAGGAGTGTGGCAATCTCCTTCTTGATCCGAAGTGGCCATTCTATTGCCCTCTACAATACTCTGAGCTTCTTCTGTCTCCCTTCATTTCTCCTGGAGAAGGAAGGCAATCGTATGTGGGTGCTGAATGCCAGACATCTTCGCTTTAGAAACACGTGACATGTCGGATCAGTTGTATTTCATCATCTTTCTGCCGCCGCCGGGCAATTTGTACCTCTCTCTCCTCTTCCCCTCAGCTCGGTGTGTGCCATGCTGCATCGGTAGCTCAGCCGGTGCACCAAAGTCATGACGCAGAAGAAAGCAAATTGTCCTAAGACCATTCGCCGCGAAGGTGAGAAGATGATCGTCGTGCGAGAGGCACGGGTGGCTAACGTCTTCTATGGGAGGAGCTACCATTGACGGCGCTGAAGCCATTCTTGATTACCTTCGTGCGTATTCACCCCAGCCTCGGGGTCTTGTTCTTCCCTCGGCCTCTGACACATTGTTTAGAGAGACAGAAGTACGGCCGGTCATTCCCTGTGCACATTTGTTCTTATCCTTTTGGAAAATTCCAGCTGACTGTTACTCGTGAATCATGGATACAGTCGCCCGTATTCGGTATGTTAGTAGATGGGAAACGAAGTGGCCAGACTTGCTCCTGCTGAAGTGATGTAGGCCAATGAAATATCAGCCAATTTACACACAGAGGTCAGCAAGGGTAAGTTCCTGAACTAGATTCTGTTAGGTGTAGTTGCGCTCATTCCTCGCGCCATGGCATCTCCCATAGCGTATGCCGCCACAGCATTACGAGACTTGTGGCACAACAAGCAGATTGAAGGACAGACGGCGGGTAAGTGTAGATCATCGTGATCTCGTGTCGATGAGTTTTGAACAACATTGGACTTATGGGCTCTCTTCATCTTTAGGAAAACAAGTAGTGTATCACGCTTTACAGGAAGCTTCCAACAAGATCACATCAGAAACCCTTGTGACCCTGGATGAGTACATTGAGAAAGCTCAGGGCAGGCTTTCCAGTCTTCAAATCCAAAAGAAAAAGGTACGAATGGAACTGGCAGCCCTTAACGCGAAACCTTTACTGTCTGAACTTCGTCGAAATGTGGATCAACTGGGTCGAGGTCAAGCAACGGTCCGGACATTCTGGCTCACGATGAGGGGGAATGCTTCGATGCCCGTGCATGGGCATATGATAAGAGCAGGTGCCGAAGAAGATTGGAAGCGCTGGAAAAGGCACGCTAGCAGTCGCGCTCGAATCTGCCGTGATCTATGGCGGAGGTGCTTGGATGCGTTGCCAGGCGACACAGCTTGGGCAGAGCTCTGGGTATGGGGTCTCATGGTCTCATTTCCAGTCTTGAATGATTCTGATTGGTGGCTACGCAGGAATCTCTAGGGTTGGAAGGGCCCCCGTTACGCCGATCAAACGATCACTCGAGCTCGTGAAGGAGGCCAGTGAAGCCGGTCACTGATCGGCGGCGGTCGATTCCTGGTCTTGAGAAAGCGCATGTGTGCAAACTGACATACGGGTTCGCGGGGAGACGCAGCTCAACCATTGCACTGTATCAGCATCGATTTGTTTTCGATAACTTGCTACGTACAGTACCTTGTGAATTTGGGCCTTTGATGATTTCAAAAGGATTTGTGGGAAGCGGGACGTTCATTAGTCAGAATAATATATCGAAGTCATCTGAACCTGTTAGATTCTTGATTGTATGCTGTTTGTAGCACCGACAGGCAAGGACAGGCCAAGCCACTTGGAGGATCTTATGTAAACAAGGAGAAGAAGAAAAGAAGAGAAGGAGGAGGAGGAGGGCGGAGGAGGCGGATTTCCAGATATATATGGTACAGTACGGAGTACATCTGTTATTATGTCATGTAAATTCCTGACTCCTTCTCTAAGGCTTTCCAGATTTTTTCTACTGTATACACCAACTTATACCGTACTGTACTGTACATACATACTCTATCTACTCCGTACTCCGTAGTATATCTAGTATTGCAATTGCACCTTTTTTCTTTTTCTTTTTTTTTTTTTTCAGCTCACCGCCCACGGACTTTCTCCTCCTTGGATCATCCCGAGGATGGGCTCTTTCGGACTGAAGTACTGTACAGCACGAGTACTGTAGGTCCGTTGTCCTTCCCTGGTCATTTCCACCACCACCACCTTTTTCCTTATCTTTGCCCGATAACCTTCCTGCGGAGTCTCGAATATCCTTGCGTGTGTTGCTTGCTGCGTTGCCATCACCTTTGCCCACCCTGGCGATGCAGCTGTCGGCATCCCGCAGCCCTTCTCCGCCTATTCAACCTTCTTCCCCTCCTTCCAACACCACCTCCACCACCTCCACCACCATCACCACCACTACAATTCCTACCACCACTGCTTCCTCCCCCTCCCTT